TCCAAGTTAGGGAAAATATGGAAGAGCAACATCAGCGTCTCAGCAAAAATGAAACTCTACTCGTCACTGGTCCTCTCTGTATTCCTATATGGATGTGAGAGCTGGACCCTGAATGCAGAGACAGAAAGAAGAATACAAGCCTTCGAAAACAAAAGCTATAGAAGGATCCTAGGAATAAGTTACCTTGAAAGGAAAACTAATGAATATGTCTTACACCAGGTCCATAGACTGGCAGGAAAACAGGAACCACTCCTTTCAGTCGTAAAGAAACGGAAACTACAATGGTTCGGCCACACGGTAAGACATGACACACTGTCCAAAACGATTCTACAAGGCACAGTAGGAGGAGCACGAAAGAGAGGTCGACCGAATAAGAGCTGGCTTGACAACATAAAAGAGTGGACTGAAATGCCCTTGGATACGCTACAGAAAATAGCATTAAACCGAGAAGAATGGCGAAGACTGATAGCGCGAACTGTCATAGCACCCCCACGACGAAAGTCAAGGGACTGATGATGATGATGATGTCACAAACTTATAATGATGATGAATTTGATCACTTTCAGTCTTTATCCCATGAATTTTAGCCTAAACGTTTGTATATAGCATAACATCGAAATAGTGTCATCCTAAAATAGCATAAATAATTTCCTCGCTCAAGCACAATCTTGAAGTTTATGAATAAATTATTAATTTGATTCCGAGGAGTTTTCTTTATCTGATTTCCTTTAATCAATACAAAAGTGCAATTCACGTGTGAAGTTCAAATCTTCAGCTTGATTACAAATAGTATAATGTATTCTATTAGTTATATAATCAATTCCAACGATGGTCTAAGATGGTATGAAGATTATTAGATTTGTTGATATGATATGGTTGGAGGCAATCGGCCACAGGAAGCCTTGGACCTAGGTTTCGTGCTAGTTGACCCTCACCAGTCAGCAAGGCGTATCTGCAACCTTGAAGGAACTAATGTCCCTTGTGAGATTCGAACCCGCGTCACCCAGTGCTGCAGTCAGAGACGTTACCACAGAGCTATTCGGGCTCGCGATTGACTTTCTGTAGGACTGTATTGAATACTTTTGATTAGAAACCATTTAATTTCAATAATTCACAGTACACCGTGATGATGAGCCATCTAGAATGGTGGCCACATTGTAAACCTGACTGATAGGACTAGATACATTACACTAGTTACTAACCAGTGTCCAATCAAAAGTATTGTTAGATTTGTTCATCAAAGTAAACGTAGATAAGGAAAAAGGAGATAAACCAGCATAAGTTCTAATGAACATAGAATGTTATACTCTATGACTCAGTTTGTTCTGTTACGTTGAACAGGTTGTTGACAACAAGGGAAATTACCATGTTATTTACATTATTTTTTTAAGTCTTTTTTGGCCTAATCCACAAATTGTGTCAGTTTCTAGACCAAGGGGTCAGATTTTTTCTTATGTAAGCTAATCCTTATTGTTCATTCATTTAGTATTCATCAAGCTACCAAATTAACTCGAGTGCTATATAAATAATTGTGCACTGGGCTTCACACAGGACTGACAAACTGATTGAATTTTCAACGTAGAACTTTCCGTTGAAATATAGCAGTTCGAGTTGCCAGACTTCGTAACAGCACACACAAAGTTAGAGAAATGCAAAGAAACTCAAAGGAAATGTACTGCGGAAAGAATAGTCACAAGAAAAATAATGAAAACTTTACCCATGAAATAAATCATAAGAGTAAAGCCTTGACAGCTAAGGGGAACAGTTCTTACAAGATCTATATACATATCCCTCCACACACACTCTGTCTCTCTAGCTCTGGGTGCTAGAATGGTAGGGTGCTCTGTGATCTACTACATGTCTTTGGGTGGTCAGTGCTCGACGCACAGACGTAAACAGTTCTTTTAGGTCATCTGTTTCTGAAATATTTACCCCTGTCATCTTTAAGCTTTCCCATGCATCTGGCAAATTGGGGCTTATAACAGCACTAGATTATTTTTTTCTTCAAATTGCTGAATACACCAAAGACATTGCTCCTCTCATGATGTAGATAACTCACTTGACAAGAACCTATGCAGTTCTGCAAACTTTACCAATTTCAGCTTGCTACGCTAAGTGTGCTTTTCCTTATCCGATATCGTTAACGCCGTCTGAACTGTCAATGCAATCACTTGCACTTAATCTATCTGGGGTATAGCGATCTGAGAGGTGGATAGGCTTCAAAATTACTGTCTTGATAGGCTTATTGCATCTTCCAGGCCGAATGATTCTTTGTCAAAGGCATCGGTCATCAATAGACACCTGGTTGTTGCCGTCTTGCCTTGATTTGATCGGAACTTTATGGCTCACCACTTGCTAGGACTTTATAAGAGGATAAGTGGAACTGTTGACAGGTCTGGGATATTGTGACCTTTCCCATTCTCTTCCCATTGAGGCTTGTTCTCGATTTTGATAGAATTTCGTCGGTTTATTGTAGTTGGACACAGTGCAAAACCAACTTCTCTCTGAGTTGTTCTTTTGTAACCTTCGTAGTAAGTATTTCTTTTTAGCGATTTGTAAAACCACTAATGAAGATTTCTGTTTATGACAGTCTCTTTCGCTTCATCAAATACTGGACCTTCTTAGAACTGGCGTAGTCTAGCAGCTGCGTCATAAACATTCTCCAGCCATTGGTTCTTAGCGTCTCAAAGACCCCAGTCTAAACCCACCTACCATGCTCAAAAGAACATCCAGACTTCATGAACAGATTGTTACCCAAAGCTTACAAAGTAAGGCTAATTTGAAGATTCATTAACAGGTCTAACAATCTTTGCCGTAAGTAATGAGTATATTACAGTTTCTAAATTCAATACAATCCTATTAACTTAGCTTATATTCAACTAATTCGCCCTAAAATCTGATCATGAATTCATGCGTTGATGAGGCATGGTACTGACTACCGTTTTCGCTGACTGTAACACTGTCCCACACTAAACACGTAATCAAGGATTGTGTTTAACTAAGCTGTTTGATGTATATTATAGATTGTATGAATTGTTAAGAAATAAACCAAACAATGAATGATTATTCCTTACCATATTCAAAAAACAATTAATTATTTGAGAAAATAAACCTCACTTGAAAGATAATATGTTTACAGTCAACAATTTCATCAGTTTACTAAACAAATAATCAAGTAGATTATAACCAGTAATTAAGTGAAACATTGAAAAATCAATAACGCACTCAAACACTTTCCTTTTGCTGATATAAAACATATCTGTCACATTGAATGTACACTAACAATGTTTAATAAATATTCCTTAAACATAATTCTAATGTGTCGATGGTCCATTGGTAGACATGCTAACCAGCTATATTGAAGCTCTGAGTTCGATTCTTAGCCAACGTACTGGTAACCGCTCAGTCAATAGTGGAATTGAGAAAGAGGGAAGGTTGGGTATGAGACTGGTAAATTCACTCCCGAGGATTGGAAGAAAGGCTACTTATTCAAACTACCAAAGAAAGGAGACTTAAGTCAATGCAAGAACTGGTGCGGAATTATGCTCCTGTCTATCCCAAGCAAAATACTAAGCCGCATCATCCTGGAGAGAACCAAACATGCCCTGGATGAAACCTTCGACTGAAACAGACTGGATTCAGGAGAAACAGGTCATGCATTGATCAGATCACCACATTACGGATCATCATTGAACAGAGCCTGGAATGGCAGTCACCTCTCTACCTCAACTTCATTGACTTAGAAAAGACCTTCGACAGCGTCGGTCGAGAGGTGATTTAGCAACTACTTCGTTACTACGGGTGTCACCGACAATTATACATCTCACCCAACAGCTGTGTGACAATGCTGCATGCCAAGTAATCCACAACGGGAAACTTACAGAACCCTTCGAAGTGAGGACAGGAGTAAGACAAGGCTGCCTACTATCTCTAATGACTTTCGTGATTGCAGTAGATTGGATAATGCGATAGACAGCGGGCAGTGAGAAAACAGGCATAAAATGGACCCTCAAAAAAACATGGACGATCTGCACTTCGCCGATGATATATGTCTGATTTCCCACAAACTGGATAATATGCAAGTGGAAAAAAAAGCAAGTTGGCAGAAGAAGCATCCAGAGATGATAGGACTTCCAGTTAACACTGACAAAACGGAAATGATCAAGATTCCTGACCAACAGGAACAGCAACAACAACAGACAACAATCAGCATACATGAAAGGAATGTGAAAGGAGCAAACTCCCTCACCTACCTAACTAGGAAGCATCCATCCAACTACAGGCGGACGGAACTGGTGAGGATATCGAAGTGAGGATAGGGAAAGCAAGGCAAGCTCTCATTACTCTCAAGTCTGTGTAGAGATCAACAGCACTCAGCATCAAAAATAAGATCCGGATTTTCAAATCCATTGTGAAGTCAGTCACTGCTAGTATACGGATGAGAGACTTGGTGCCGCGTCAAGAAGGACACTTCGAACAAATTACAGACCTTCATCAACAGCTGTCTTCGCTCAATACTCAAGACCAGATGTCCAGAAAAGATCTGGGATAGGGAAAGATCTCTGGGAACGAACCAACCCAGGAGGAACCAACTGTGCAACAAATATGGAGGAAGAAATGGAGGTGGATTGGCCATACTCTGAGGAAACCATCAAGTGACAGCACAAGATAGGCCCTAGAGTGGAAGCCGAACTGGAAGCGGCGAGTTGGTCGTCGATGCAAGGGTGACTTGGAGGAGGTCATGTGAAGAAGCGATGAAAGCATGTGGCTAGACGTGTAGCCAGGTGAAAACTTTAGGAGAGAACCGAACGCAGTGGAGACGTGCGGCTGAATCCTTATGTTCCTCTAGGAATTAAAGGAAATAATAATAATAAAAGTCACTCCACAAAAAACACCACTGCTACTGAAACTTCAAGGATTAAAGCTTGAAACTCTGTGTTCCACCTGGAATGCGAAGGAATGAAAAAGTGTTTTTTAAAAAGAAAACAACATAATTCTACCTTGGTGATACATTGACTTCTAATAGCCATGGTTTAAGATCAGCATCCAATATGATATCAAAACCGAATAATTCATAAACTGATGCACGTCTTCGACAATTCTGATCAACCATTGTAGTAATACAGCTAACAACAGATGCTAATGTCTTGAAAATGATATCAGTTATACGTGACCATAAACTGGGTACATCGACTCCACGTTCTGTTAGATATGACCACAGTTTACTTAATTTCCTGAAATGAAAAAGAATTTAAAAAATTGAAGAACTCTTCATGTTCATATTTTGAAACAGTTTTTTTAGAATGAAAAATATTTTATAAGAATATTAAGAATATGTTAGCCCTAATGATATTGACTGCTCAGGTTACTTAGAGCTTTATGGAACGGCGCTAGTTAAATTGAATAATATTTCTTATCTTATTGCTGAATCACTTCGTATCTCTTGTTTAACATACTTTCGCCTTATGGCATTAACGTTAAACTTTGTTCCCATGTTCTTTATCCCTCTTGATTACACTTCTATCAAGCTGAATATAACAAATTTTGCGGGAAGTTCTACTCTGTCTTAACCATTCTAACCTCCATTTGTAATGACTGATTTTTGATTTTGTCTACCTCCTCCTTTTATGGTGTTGGAATGTGTAACAGGAAGAACTGATGTCATTATATTAAAGGTCCTGGATTTGTCCTTTCAGCTAGTTCCACATCATGCTGAGAAACCTCTGAACAAGACAGGGGGTGAATAGTGTTCGGACTCTGTTGATGATATTCCTTTTGGGTAAGGATAATGGGAAAAAAGCATAGTCTTCTAGACACCTTGATAAAAACAATCTATGTACTTTAGACATTTGGTGTATCCTTTTCAAATATAAGATAATGGTCTAAACCAACTCTTTGTTTAAGGAAAGGAATTCACTTATTCAAGAGCTGCATCAGTTTGAATACACTAATCGCCAATGAAATTTAAGGTTGTTTGGCTTTTCTATGCAATTGTTCTTACTCCTGTACATCTTGATCTATTATAGTTTCACTGCGTTTCTTTTTTCTATTTCAAATTATACTTCATCGAAGTGTTTCGACTTGAACTGATGCATATTTCATCGAAGTTCTTCTCTACTATGTGACTCAGGCATTAAGTCTTTCTTTCAATATAAATTCTTTTGCGTAGTAAATATGGAAGTGAACCTTGTATGCAGCTATTGTATCGTTGTCATTTCTTGCATTCAAAGTCCAGCCTGAAGAAGTAGCTTACAGAAACAAACGTTCAGAAAAATCCTGTTTTGACTTCACCATTAATTTATAAACGCTTTAAAAAGACAAGCTGTTTAAAATGTCCAAAATTTACGTGTACCCAAAGCGTTTCACTTTAATCCTGATACCTGGGACTGATATTACCCGATAATTAAGAAACTATTCATAATATTAAATCTAACTAACTACAATAATCTGCGTATAAAATTTTATTTACGACGGGAAAGCGAAAATTATTTTATTCGTTAAACTGACAAATTGCAATGTACAAAGTAGCGTTTTCTTTGGTCTAGTGCAGGAGCTTACTATCCCAAAAAAGTGACATTTTACTTTCATGTGAGCACGTAATACATGATTCACTTAATTTCCTTTCTGTTATACCGACATCTGTATGACTAATGCTGGATGTGCGCAAAATTTTCAATTCCTGTATATTGTTTCAAGGTAAATATTTACGTGTTAGTAAAAATAAGCATTTATTCAATTTTAAACCATATATGAGATACATTCCTCATGACGGGTGTTCGCTTTCCGTTGGTAAAACAGGGAGGAAGAATTTTGGTGTAGGTGAGTTCTCGAAGCTGTTTAATTTAGTTGCAAGGCTCTCGTTATCCCTCTGGACAACAAACATATCCTGTGCAAAATTCAATAGGAACTTAACTTATTTGAGTCTTCCATAAATGATATAAGTGAATCTCTTGACAATTACTGTCACAACTGGTTGTTAATTTGCATCAGCACTGATCGTTTTTTACTGACATGGAATCGGGCATCTTTGTCATTTCGCTTATTCTTTCATTAGTTGATAAATATGATCTATAGTAATTTGTCTGTTAATAGTTGGCTCGTCTAAGTATTAGGCTTTTAGGAATTCTCTGGCAATGTTGATGGTTTTATTGCATCAGATTTCTACACTTTCCCAGTCAAATTGGTTTCCATATTTACCTACATGCATCGATATGAAGGAATATATATCGTGTCTTTTGAGAGCTAGTTTACTTCCTTGAATTCTGAGTCAAAAGCAACGCCCACTTTGACCGATATAGTGTGAATCACTATAATAAAGGTCTTTGTATTTCCCAATGAATGAATGAAAAACAAAACGATATTGTTTTTACTGACTTTCACTATCTAATGATAATAGCTTTATCAAAGTATTATTAAATCGGAATTTACAAAATCTCAGCATATATATAACAAAGAGTTAAGAGGTGAGAAAATAGACTTAGGTCAAGTTAAAAGGACAAATTGAAATTCAAAATAACAATGAAGATCACTAAATCAAGTAACATAGGTAACAGTACATACGCTGTGGTATCAAAACAAAGTTTACTAACTTGATCATCGTTCGTCATTATGGGGTCATTTTTCGTTGTCAAGTTGGTCAATTGGTAAAGATAACAAAACCAAATTTAAACTGTTGGATTTGATAAATATGTAAAATTATAAAACAGCGTGTGTTTATATAATGATATCGCTTATCACATTCGTGTTCATTTTTATTTATAATTATTTATTTATTATAGCTTGATTCCACACCGTATTTTGGTACAAGTATGAAATTTTCAGCATGTGATATCGGTAGCCCAAATTTAGCAGGCCGGCCATAGATATCAGGTGTGCGTCGTCAGGGGATCGAACCTCGGACCATGTGCATGGTCGACGAGAGTCCTAACCGCTGTGTCACCGACGCACTTCATGGGGCACGGGGGTGTTGCAACCAGGTCAAATTCTGGTTTAGTCCATCATTCCTATTCGGACAATTTGGATTTCACTTGATATGAAGTGATTCTGATATGAGACGTTCTTTGTGATTTGTGGCCGATAGAATCAGGCCCCATACTGACGAACGATGATCAAGTTAGGTTGGAAACAACTGGTGACATGGCTCAAAATCGTTCTCAATGACTGGTGCAGATGCATCCACTCCTTGTGACTTATGATTTCCAATGAAAGTGTTTAGTTCTTCGTTATTACTATTCCTTTGTCTCACACCTCTGTTTACTGTCTATATTATTATGCATTTCTCCTACTTTCTTCTCTTCTTTTGTGTGCTACATGCAGTGTGGCGACTTGAACTGTCGCACAGATGTGCAAAGTTCTATGTCGAAAACAGACAGACAGCAGCCAGCTCTCACCACAGGATGAGCAATGTATTTAAATAAAATTTAAAGGAAGATGAGGTGATTTCGGGAAAGGATTTTATAACTTATTTGATTAGTATGGCTGAACTACAGACTCTGAGGAAGTATTTATTACCAGTCCAAAGGAGAAGCACAAAATGGTATTAGAACCTGATTGAAGGCCTACTCGTTTTAAACAAAAAAACTTAAAACACTTAAAGTATCCACAGGTTTTGATCTATTTATTTTTAACCCTAGGCTTGTTTTGGTTCCATGGAAGATGTAACACAGATGTATAGAAGTTTATTTTTCAATCTCTCCTGTAATAGACAATACCAACAATCAGGGGTCAAACACATTATAGCAAAGCATACATGAGAAGTAGAGCACGGATGACGATCGAAACACTTTGTCAATGATAATAATCATTTTATTTTTATTTTTTTATTTTATTATAGCTTGGTGCATCGGTGGCATAGCGGTTAGGACGCTCGCCGAACATGCATATGGTCCGGGGTTCAATCCCCGGCCGACGCACTCCTTTACCTCGCTAAGCCAGAAATATTGCTGGTGAAGAGGAAAGGTTGGGCATGAGGCTGGCAACCCCATCCTGTAAAATAAACACTGCTACAGAAACTTCAAGCCTCTAGCTTGAAGCCCTATGTTCCACTGGGGAACGTGAAGGAAAAAAAAAGTATAGCTTGATTCCATACAGTATTTTGGTACAAGTATGAAATTTTCAGCATGTGATATCGGTAGCCCAAATTTTGCTGGCCGACCATAGATATCAGGTGTGCGTCGTCAGGGGATCGAACCTCGGATCATGTGTATGGTCGGCGACAGTCCTGACAGCTGTGCCGCCGACTCACATCATGGTATAAGATGGACACTAAAGTACACACAAAGAAAAGAACTAGGCTGTTATTGATCACCGGCCACCCTTCTTTTCCAAGACCCAGGCCATTAAATTCGTTAAATTTTGCACATCTCGCCATTTTTCCCCAAACTGCTACTTTAAACAATCGATTTCAGTAGATCAGGTAAATTGTAGCAATTTAATTTTGAGTGAAAGTGCATTGAAAATATTTCGGTGACAATTCGATTTCATTGGAGGAAAATATAATTGAATTCAACCTGTCACACTAAAAAATATAATCCTCGTAAAAAGAGAGGAGAAACTTGGATAAAATCTGGGTTCTAATCCCGGCGGTGGGTGCGTACCGATGAAGAGTCCCGAACTAGGATGAAACAGCTGTCCAGTACTCCCACGTTGTCCAGTGGTTCTCTAACCGACATCGGCTCATGATGAAATCCTCCAACCAAACAAACAAAATCGCTACAAAAACCAATACTTGAAAATCGGTATGATACCCACTAGCAACTGGCCCTATTCAGGTACGTAGTTACCTGTGGTTCTAGTGGGAAACCATGACCAGTAGGGTGTAGCAGGTTGAAGGTGATCCAGTAACTCATCGAAGAAGACATTGCCATGTGGTCGCGCCATATCATGAACTGACAGAAGTTGGAATTCATGGTTTGGCCATTGGATCGGGTCCCAGTGGCTTAACGGTCTACGAGCTCGCTAGCTTTGTAACCAGAAGGAGCTGGGTTCAAAGCCCAGTGGGTAGTACTGGTGAAGAGTCCCAAACTAGGACGAAACAGCTGTCAGGGTTTTCCAATGTTTCTCTAACTGATGTCAGCTCATGATGAAATCCTCCAACCAAACCAACGAAATCCCTACAAAAACCAATACTTGGAAATCTCATTTGTATACCTCCTACAAAGTGGATCAGACAATAGAGAAATTAGCTTAGGTGTTTTCATCCGAATACGCTTTGAAGTAGGCAAAATACATGATTCTATAGTTTCATTTCATTAAAAGAGAAAATAAACTTGATTAAGACCATATGTGAAGAAATATGAAAGACATACTGACACGATGTTGAATACAGAATTATAAAATCTAATTAAAATACCAAAATGTCCTGTGAGAATAACAGGAAAAATATTGGTTATCTAAACCTGACAGTTAAAGCAGTTTTTTATTAAGCATTCTTTTTTTCTTAATTATAGCTTGACTCCAAATAGTACTTTTGATACAAGTATGGAGTTTTCAGCAGGCCGACCACTGATATCACGTGTGCGTTGGCCGGGGATCGAACCCCGGACCATGTGCATGGTCGACGGGCGTCCTAATCGCTGTGCCGTCGACGCAGTATAGCAAGGCTAAAAGCACGACAAATAGGCATTTATGCTGTCGTAAGAACTTCCTGTATCTCATTGAAAGAACACTCTCACAATGCATCTCATGCAGTCGTATGTACATGAATTCATTTGGAGTCAGTTATCTTTGATGCCGTTTGAGAAAACTAACACCAAGGGAGAAAAAACATCTCTTTGTATAGCTAATGGAAAAAGATACAATAAAGATTACTAATCACATTCAGTGGCACCCTAAGATGCTAACCGTACCATTTGTGTTTTCAACAATATGGAAGAAGCCAAACTTGTTACTACTTTAAGTTGTGAGATTTCCTTTCTGACAAAAACTGCTGAAACTTTGATTGGACACTAGTAACTTGTATAATGTGTCTAGTCCTTCCTTTGGTACAGGTTGAATTCTATCGGTCAGGTTTGCAAAGTGGCCACCATTCTAGGTAGCTCGCCATCACGGTGCACATTGATTTGATGATATTAGATGCTTGGAGGCAATCGGCAAGAAGCCTTGCTTGACCTAGATTTCGTGCTAGTTGGCACTTAATGGTAACGTCTATGACTGCAGCACTGGGGTGATGCGGATTCAAATCTCAGAAGGGACGTGAGTTCCTTCAAGGTTGCAGATACGCCTTGGTGACTGGTGAGTGCCAAATAACACGAAACCTAAATCCACGGCTTTCTATGGCCGATTGCCTCCAAACATCTAATAAAACTGCTGAAACTATAGCAAGGGAAATTTTCTTCTGCCACTCTACACCAAGTTGGAAGTTACACAATTCAATCTAATAACGACTCAAGTTTATTGCTGTCTGAAACTGCATTAAGCAATTCACTTGTACTTGACGGTTCTACTGCTAAACACCTAGTGGGCATAACACACATTTCCATTGCATTCACTTACATCCACAGAGGCTATTCGGAAGATGAGACTAGACATATGTAATCAAGGACAGGCAGTTGTCAGCTTCCCACTATCACAGCAACTTCAATTTCTAATCTTTATTTTCCATTTGTTTAAGTACACTTCATGATTATTACATAATCAGTTCTCAGTTTATTACGATAATGTAACTCTCTGAACTTAAGTAATTTGATCTGAGTATAATTTCGATTTTAACCTTGTATTTCTACATGTACAATTAATTAATCTTTCTCCACTGCACTACCGCAATACTCGTTAATTAGATATTGTCTAATCCATAAGTCATTTTATTTTCGAAATTTTCATCTCTGCAATTTCATTTATTCAGTATCTTCATTCAAAGACTGTATTTCAATTTATACCAAAGAGTATAAAATCTTTACTGCAGCAATCTTTCGCAGTTGAACAGATGAAGAACAAATTGAGCAGGATAATGTAATCAATCTTCTGATTATTGGGGGGAGGGGGTAATATTCATTATAATAAAGGTTTTTGTATTTCCCAATGAATGAAAAACAAAACGATATCGTTTTTACTGACGTTTCGCTATTTGATGCCTCTAATAGCTTTATCAAAGTATTATTGAACCGGAATTTACAAAATCTCAGCATATATATAACAAAGAGTTGAGGGGTGAGAAAATAGACATAGGTCTAGTTAAAGGGACATATTGAAGGTAAAAATAGCGATGAAGATAACTAAACCAAATAACAAAGGTAATAGTATGTCTGTTATGATATCAAAATAAAGTTTACTAACTTGATCATCGTTCGTCTGTCTGGGGGCACTTTTTAGTTGTCAACTTGGTGAATTGGTAAAGATAACAAAACCATCATGTGTAGATTGTTGGGTTTGATGAGTGTATAAGATTATAAAAGCAGCGTGTGTTTACATAATGACTGCCTTGTTAAGAGAAGGGAAAACGGACATTTTAGTATATCCATATTCAGGAAGAAAACCCACTCAAATAAATATTTAGACTCCAAATCATCACACCCCATCAGCGCAAAAGTATCAGTTGTTTCAAGTCTTCTTAGACGAGCACACTCTCTGATAACCAACGAGAAAGAAAAAGAAGAAGAAATATCAAACATTACTGAAACTCTCAAGCAAAACAACTACCCATGGAACTTCATCAACAAAATCAACACAGACATTAAGTATGGCCGAAAACGCATTCCGAAAACATGGACATCAACAGTCGTCAATCCATATAGAGCAGAGACGTCAGACGATATCAGAAGAGTACTCAATCAGCTCGACATTAGAGTTTTCTTCAGAACATCAGACACACTTCAAAGCAACCTTGTCCATATAAAAGACCAAATCCCTAAAGATTCTCTATCTAATTGTGTCTATAAAATAAAATGCTTGGAATGTTTTTAATTTAATTTTATTACAGCTTGACTCCGCACAGTATTTTTAATACAAGTATGGAATTTTCAGCATGTGATATCGGTAGCCCAAATTTTGCAGGCCGACAATTGATATCGAGTGTGCGTCGGCATGGGATCGAACCCCAGACCATGTGCATGGTCGGTGAGCGTCCTAACCGCTGTGCCACCGACGCACATGCTTGGAATGTGATGCGATATACATCGGACAAACATCTCGAGAAATCAAAATCAGAAGAAATGAACACCGTAGAGCATCTCTTCGACCACCGAGAAATCCTGTTGAACTACAAAGACTTGAAAAATCATCAGCTATAGAATCAGGCCACAAAATTGATTTTGACAATGTTGAAATAATCCAGAAAAACTTCAGAAATCACAAAGAACGTCTAATATCAGAAGCACTTCATATCAAGTGGAATCCAAATTGCCTGAATAGGAATGACGGACTAAAACAGAATCTGACCTGGTTACAACACCTCCCTCCCCCCATCAAGTGACAAAACCAACACGAATGTGATAAGCACTTTTATTATGTAAACACACGCTGCTTTTATAATCTTATACACTCATCAAACCCAACAATCTACACATGATGGTTTTGTTATCTTTACCAATTCACCAAGTTGACAACTAAAAAGTGCCCCCAGACAGACGAACGATGATCAAGTTAGTAAACTTTATTTTGATATCATAACAGACATACTATTACCTTTGTTATTTGGTTTAGTTATCTTCATCGCTATTTTTACCTTCAATATGTCCCTTTAACTAGACCTATGTCTATTTTCTCACCCCTCAACTCTTTGTTATATATATGCTGAGATTTTGTAAATTCCGGTTCAATAATACTTTGATAAAGCTATTAGAGGCATCAAATAGCGAAACGTCAGTAAAAACGATATCGTTTTGTTTTTCATTCATTGGGAAATACAGGAAAACCTTTATTATAATGAATATCATATACCCAATACCCAAATGTTTTGAAACTGTTAAAAGTGAACTTAGTTTGAACATATATAGTGTGAATCACATTTGTCTTCTTTCTCTGTTGGGCCTTTCGGTGTGCACAGTAAGCGAATGAAGTGATTATGCTGGTTTGTGCGCTGCATCTGTTCCAAATGGTTATAGTATTTTAGCTTTTATTTTAGGCACACTGTTTATATATGATAAGGTGCATATACTTGTAGTTTCTGATGTTGGTTTTCCCCTGATTGTGTGATTCCAGTTTAGACGTTTTGATTATCCAGCTCAGACAGTGTAAACAAATCGAAATCATCCACCTGAGATACACATCTTCGCTTTTATTTGAGAGATAAAAGATTTTTGGCAAGAAAACAAGATTAACTGGAGCATGACGAGGGAAATAATTCATGCTTCCAACTGGACAGGAAATGACATTATCTGATAGGTCCTCTGAAAAAAAAGATAATTCAATCAGAACAATTCTCAGTCTTACTTACTACTTACCATTTATGATTTAATACAGAATTTTCACCACTTTTATTATATTTATTAATAGAATAATTAGTTAAATGCACGAAACGATTCCCCAAATGTTGAAAAGAAGTAGAATATCTGTAAATATAGTGAAAATAATACTGATAACTGCATAACTTAGTAGAAAGAAAAGGCAACAAACGTAACTTTATCAAGATTAAGATTAGTTTAAACTGCCGTGAAGTTACCTGGTCAGTCTACAAGCGTTTCATTTGTTGATAATAATTAATGAACAGTTCAAGATAAATAAAACAAATAAATAAATCCCTACAAACCAACACTTGAATATCGATGAGATGCTCACTAGTGACTTGCCCTATTCAGGTAAGTAATTACCTGGAGTTCTAGTAAGAAGTCGTAACCAGTAGGGTGCAGCAGGTCTGGTGAGAGGACAAATACTCGCCGAAGACATTGACTAGTGGTCACGCTGTGTCGTGAATTGGCAGAAGTTGGAATTCATGGGCTGGCCATTGGATCTGATCCCAGTGTCTTAATGGTCTACGAGCTAGCTCGCCTTGTAACCAGAAGGTCCTGGCTTCGAACCTCGTAGGTGCGTACTATTGAAGAGTCTCAAACTAGGACGAAACAGCTGTCCAGTAATCCCGGGTTTTCCAGTGGTTCTTTAACCAGTGTCAGCTCATGATGAATTCCTAAAACATAAATCATAATACTTATATTTTTCCCTAATTGAATTTGTACTTCCATTGAACTTCTTCCATCTGAGATGAATATTCAATCGAATAAACAGTTTAGACACCAAATCTCCAAAAACAGACTCCTGAAAATCACTCTGATGCTGACTAATGACTAACTACAGGATGAAGTTGCTTGAAGTTCTAGGGAGAAGTCGTGACCGGTAGAGTCTCAGTGTTGGGTGTGAGGCTATCGACTGGCGGTAACGCCAAAAATCGCGAATTGTCAGAAGTTAGAGAACCACTGAAAACCACAGAGTAGCGGATATCTGTCTCATTCTAGTTTGATACACTTCAACAGTATGCCTACATGAGTCAAACAGGAATGAAACTCAGATCAACTGTCAGGACGAATACCTGCCAGTGACACTGCCTAGTGGTAGCCATATTTATCATAAACTGGCAGAATTTGGAACATTTGAGCGACTGGATTCCATATCAGTAACTGAATGGTCAGCGAGATCGCCTAGTATTCTGAACGTCCTGAGTTCGATCCTCATAAGAACCATGAGCGCGTACTGTGGGGAGTCCTAAACTAGGACGAAATAGCTGTCCAGCACTCCTTGGTCTTCAATGGTTCTTTATCTGATATCAACCGGTAATCAAGCTCATTAACTTATAGAGTTGATTATTTCTGTGCATCCTGGGAAATTAAATTTGTGCAACTAATAGCGAGTTAAGTTTATTCAGTTAAATTTCAGTAAATTTTTAACATCTGAAAATTATTTGTGTCTAACAGTGGAATATACGAAAAACATTTAACTTTGTGCAAAATGTAACTGTTATTATTATTATTGTTCCCTTGGGTTCCTAGTGGAACATAAGGGTTTCAGCTGTATGCCTCCACTTGCTTCTGTCTTCTGCTGTACTTTCCACCTGCATCCAAGTTAGTCCATACTGTTTCAACTCCTCTTCACATGATCTCCTCCATGTCGTCCTTGGACGTCCCACTCGTCGCTTCCCTTTCGGGTTCCACTCGAGCTATGGCCTGACGCGCGATGTCACCCAGCGGCCTCCTCAGCGAGTGTCCAATCCATCTCCACTTCCTCCTGCATATTTGTTGACAGATTGGTTCTTGTTTTGTTTGTTCCCTTAGTTTCTTGTTTGTGATTCTTTCCGGCCATCTGATCTTCAGTATAGAGCCAAGACAGCTGTTGATAAAGGTCTGCAACCTGTTGGAATTATTCTTGGTGACCCGCCACGTTTCTGATCCGTATAGAAGAACTGACTGACTTGACGTTTGTATTGAAAGTCCGAATTTTGTTGTTGATGTTGAGTGAGGAAGATTTCCAGATTGGTTTCAGGTTGATGAATGTATTTCTCGCCTTCTCGATTCTCGATTTGACATCCTCGTCCGTTCCTCCTGTTGATTTCCTTTTTTTACATTTAAGATCTTTTGTTTTCGCCATACATATGTAATTAGCACAGAGAAATGTCTTCTGATTTGATACCACTTCTTATTGACTCATAAATACTTGATAAATAAACTTTTTGTAAAATTTTGTAGATGGTTAGTCAGCTGATCGACATAACAAGCATATATTCTCAGTACTAATATTTTATGAGTAAATACTCATTTAGACGTAAGCAATTTAGCTAGTTTCAAATTAATGTTTGTTATTTAGAAATTGTCTGGGCAAACAAATGTTTTGAATAATTTACTTCTCAGGTTCTACTATTTATTAATGACTGACTGACAGCTGTTTCGTTTGTGACCAGTAGGGTACAGCAGGTTGAAGATGAGGTAGTAACTCATCGAAGAAGACATTGCGAAATGGTCATGCTATGTCGTGAACTGGCAGAAGTTGGAATTCATGGGGTGGCCATTGGATCGGGTCCCAGTGGCTCAATGGTCTGTGAGCTAGCTAGCCTTGTAGCCAGATGGTCTCTTGTTCGAACCCCAGCGGGTCCATACTGATGAAGAGTCCTACACTATGACGAAACAGCTGGCTGTCCAGTACTCCCAGGTTTTCCAATGATTCTTTAACTGATGTCAGCTCATGATGAAATCCTCCATCCAATAAGACAATAAGAGCGGTAGATGTACATTTGTGAAAGTCATGACCGATAACAAATACCCATTTCATGCGGTCACTTATCCCTTATTTCAGATCAATAAGAAGTACTTAATGTAAGGGATAACAGCGAGTGAAGTTAACGTCAATAATAATGCTACAAATGAAATCAAGTGTATTGAAAGGGACAGAGAGTAGATCATTAAGGTGCAGGAGATATGGAGATCTTAAATTCCTAGATGAGCTCATAATAGGCCAAGGTAGACTATGTATAGAAGTAGCCAGAATTCGAAAGGAGAGAGGAGGTTAAAGTTATTCGGTTCTCCGAGCTGAGTATAATTGAGTACACTACATGTGAATTCAGCCTCTAACGACTGTTTAGCGTCAAGATCACATAGTGTATCTGTTTAACGTGAGTAGTTTCCAGTTACTCATATCGATCAGTAGTATATAATAACTTGTTTAAATTTCTAGGTTAAGTGGTATACTAATGAATGCGTTTGCTTTTTCTGTGAATTTCATTAAGGGCTGGAATTATTTAGAAAACCGTCAGAAATCATGTGGCACTGTCAAACCCTGAAAAAATATTCGCAAATCTGAATTTTATTTCACTATTATTATTATAAAACAGAATGGAGAATAGATATGTAAAGAAATTATTGTCTACCTTTGTGAAGCAAATCGTACTAAGCCTTCTCTGTAAACATAAGCACGAAATGGACTGAATCCTGCCACATAAACATATAGCCTTATATCAAATTTTGTTCCATCAATTAAATACGGTTGATTGATATATGACTGGATGAGTACACGACGTTGTTTAGGAATATCAGACCAAGAACGTATTAATTTGATTCCAATGCCACGAGCTGATGCAGGCTTTAAAAATACAAGAAGAAACAATAACAACCATACTAATATTAAGTATGCATTATACTCTTATGTAAATATATTTGCATATTTTTCCACATAAAAAAAAACCTAAATTGATCTCATCATCTTTTCTTTATATTTGCTTTTACAACATTGGCTGAAAGTGAATCTCTAGATTGTAAGGGAGGCTCTTATAACGACTTTTAAGTTTTCTGTATGACAATCCCTTCAAAACGAATCTCTAATGTGAACGTCTACAAAGGTAGATATTCACTTTTATTTTTTTTATTCCTTCACGTTCCCGATGGAACATAGGGCTTCAAGCTAGAGGCTTGAAGTTTCTGTAGCAGTGTTCATTTTTACAGGATGGGGTTGCTAGCCTCATGCCCAACCTTTCCTCTTTACCAACTTTATTTCTGGCTTAACGAGGTAAAGGAGTGAGTCGGCAGGGGATCAAACCCTGGACCATGTACATGGTCGGCGAGCATCCTAACCGCTGTGCCACCGACGCACATTCATTTTTATATTAGCCATCAATTGTCAAAGGTGTTGCCATAAAATATATATTGAGTGGATCCACAAATATTTTGTTTTCTTCATTATTGCCATAGTCTGAGGGATGAGTTTCAGCAAATGACGGAACATCTGTGGAAAGATGAAAACTATGCATCATTTGATATAACGATCTACTGTTCTTGGTTAACAAAAATCAAAGTAAAAATAGTGAATAAAAATGGATAGTAATGAAAAACGAAAATAATCGTAATAATAAGTTTAGCCAAAGCAATAAGAAGACGTAATATGTCTGAATCGTGTAATGTGTTTCCCAATTTGAATGTACGTGTGAACACACATACATAAGGAGGACTCATCCATCTCTGCAAGTAAGGGCTGACTTCACACCATATTCCTAAATGGCTCCAGAAGTAAATAGAATCCCCAAAACCCATTAACGGTGTGAGTCGGTGGCACAGTGGTTAGGACTCTCGCCGACCATGCACATGGTCCGGAGTTCAATCCCCTGCCGACGCACACCTGATATCTATGGTCGGCCTGCAAAGTTTGGGCTACCGATATCACATACTGAAAATTCCATACCTGTACCGAAAATACGATGTGGAATCAAGCTGTAATGAAAATAAAGGAGACCCAGCTCTTCTACTGCCAAACACATTATAGAGACAGGACATAAAATTCAGGTTTACACATTTTTTAAACCTATCTATTAAACGCGTTTGGTAGAGGGTGCATCCTAAAGTTTGTGGAAGCCCTAGCTGGCAATTAGAAAGTCTAAACCACCTCTATGCGTTCAAAGCAACAATTCGTCATCACACTAAACCATCTTCCTGATTAAACTTTGTTTTGATACCAGTCAGGATAGATGTATTATTACCTCTGTTACTTGGTTTAGTGATCTTCATTGTTATTTTGACCTTTCATATGTCCTTCTAACTTGACCTAAATTTATTTTTCTTACCTCTTAACTCTTTATTAATTTCATATATACACATTCCTATGAGAAGTCCGTGTGTGATCAGATTGTTCGAAATGTGTTGTGCAAATACACATTACACGATTCATATAAATTACGCCTTCTTATTGCTTTGTTTAAATAAGTTTAGCGGCAAAATTAGTTGCAGGAGGTTATAACTGTAAAAACAATGAATGTAAACGATATGAATTGAGGGAAATAAATTCTCTTATTAGAAACTTTTCAAGTACTCCTAAATGTTGAAAATCTGGTTTTTCCATAAGTAAGTTTTGCTTCAGGGTATATGAGATGATAAGACACTTAAATCCTCTAGATATATTCAACCTACATCAAAATGTCACATTATGTATTTGTTTCCCATGTATGAAATCACAGTTGGTGTACGTGTAACAGAGTGATTGATACTAAAATCCTTCTTGGACGATTTGATTATTTCAACCAATTTGTAATTATTGGCCTTTACTACTGACCTAATCTTTGATATTGGTCTTTGTTTGGAGCCGATTCTTATTTTCTATGTTTCACTTTACTATTGTGTGGTGTTAGACTGTTGACAGTGATGTATTGTTTTACTACTGTTGATATTCAACTCAAGTGACGTGAAGGTTGTGAAATGCAGTATCTGCTTGACCTTAGACTGTCTTGCTGAAACATCTTTCTTTCATTTCATTCCAGCAGAAAGAGTTTTGATCCCATGTTATTGGGGGATATTCACCTTGATTCTCGGGTATTTTACGGTTATGTTTCGTCAACTAATTTCGCTGTATAGAACGTGTTTTAGACCAGAGAAACCTTTGGATTGTGTAGTTTTCTGAAAGCACTGTTCAGATAATTTTGTACTTTACATATATCTCATTTTTGATTAATAGTGGGTGGGTACTGCCAATGATTCCCAGACTAGGATGAAGCAGCTGTCCAATACATCCTGGTTTCCCGTGGTTCTCTAACTGATATCAGTCCGTGGTCGAACTCAAAAAGGATTAATAGTGGGTCAGACTTTATCATGTTAAATCGCTTTTTAATAATTTTTGAAAATATTTACTGGGTGTTCATGACTTAAGGAAGAGTGGAGTATAGAGTGTGGATAATACAAGCCTGAGTTTTCTGACCATTTGCCAGTTTTCTGACCAAAACAGTTCGGTATTGGTCGTTACAATACCTTGAATTTAGTGAATATTGACTTGACTACTGGAAATTTAAGCAGTCACTAACTATAACTGGCATCGAGCCAATTCTAGAAAACACTGATGTATACAGATGTATATATATATATATATATTTCACCTTTTCAAGGCACTTATGTAATGCAAATGTTTCTATACAGTATTCACTAGCCATCATATTTTCCTCGAGGCGGATGTAGTTTTGAATTTCATTATGATAAACCCAACAAACTGGACAGTCTGAACCTTGTAACTATTGATTAAAAGACTGAAACAAACGAAAACTAGAATGCAAAAGAACATATATTCATTGCTCTTTATATTTTAGTGTTGTCTGAACTTATATTGTCCTATGTATATCAATTTTTCCATATATAAAACTAAGCTAAATTTTATGCTGATTCGTTAATTAAATCAAAATGAACTTCAAGTTTTCTTGTCTTTGAATCCATCTTTTTAAAGTACACTCTTTCTGGTGAAATAAACTTTCATTGGGCACTAGTAACTAGTGTGATGTGTCTAGTCCTTTGTTTGACCCAGACTGTGTTCTGTCAGTCAGGTTTGCAATGTGGCCACCATTCTAGGTGGTTTGCCATCATGGTGCACTTTGAGTTGTTGATGTTAGATGGTTGGAGACAATAGGCAGGGAGCCTTGTAAGGGACATGAGTTCCTTCAAGGCTGCGGATACACCTTGCTGACTAGTGACCGCCAACTAGCACGAAACCTAGGTCCAGCAAGGCTTCCTGCTGATTGCCTCTTACCATCTGATATTAACAATTCAAAGTGCACCGTGATAGCGAGCTATGTAGAATGGTGGTCACAGTGCATACCTGACTGATGGAATACAGTCTCCACCAAGCAAAGGACCAGACACATCACATCAGTTAACTACTAGTGTCCAATCAAAGTATCGAACACAGCCCTACAGTAGGTCAATCGCGAGCCCGAATAGCTCAGTGGTAACGTCTCTGACTGCAGCACTGGGTGACGCGGGTTCGAATCTCATAAGGGACATGAGTTCCATGAAGGTTACAGATACGGCTTATTGACGAATGTCCAAGACTTCCTGCTGATTGCCACCAAACATCTAACATCAGAAGTAAACCTTCTTGTCAGGTACAGTGTTTATCTCGTTTAATACCCTTGAGCTACATATTAATTTACTTCAATAAAACTCAAAATCATCACCTAAATGAGAAGAAATCAGGCATGTAAAATCAATAAAATAAATTTAGTATAGTTAGGTTTAAAACAAAATCTACTTGGTTGAAAACTTTCATAGAACTGTGAAAGAAGACTCGATAAAAATTCATCCATTAAAAAAAATTGTACACTAACTGACTTCAAAGATTTTTCTATCTTGAATCAATATAAACCAACAAAATATTGAAAAATAAAGATGATTGCAAATCTGTTTTATGCTAGTTTGAAACTTTTCAGAAGTTACTACGTATGGTGCCAAAAGGGGCTGGATATGCATTGCTGGGTCACGTATGGATCTACTAGGTATGATCCAATCACGCTTAAAATTAGTTCGTGTCCTTAGGCGAAGTAGGAACATCTCTGAGTGGAACATAGGGCTTCAGTAGCACATCTCCATTTCATTTTGTTGTCTGTAGTCGTTTCTTAGATGACTCCCCGATTGCCTTTCATTTCCTGACTACACCATCTTCCCCATATCACCCTCGAACAGCCATCTCGTTTCCCATTCTGATTCCACTCTGTCTGTCTGTTTTCGACATAGAACTATGCACTAATGTGCAGCAGTTCAAGTCGCCACACTCCATGTAGCACACAAGGCAAGAGAAGAAAGTAGGAGAAATGCAAAATAGGGACAGCAGACTGGTATATGAAACAAAAGGAATAGTAATAATGAAGAACAGTAAAGTTTTATTGGAAATTATAAGTCACAAGGAGTGGATGCATTTGCGCTAGCCATTGAGAACGATTTTGAGCCATATCACCGATTGTTCCCAGCCATTGGTTTTTAGCGTCCCGTGGACCCCAACCAGTCAGGAAGTTTACACCTTCCTACGTGAATGGCTTAAACTAACTGTTTTGGATTTTATTGACTGGTGCCATGTTTTGATTTGACCACCACTGGCTCTTTTCCAACCTGATCCTATGTCAGCTAACATCGCCCATCGAGGAAGGCGATGGCTACGCATGCGTAGCACATGCCCTAACCATCTCAGTCGATGTAACTTCACAGCCTCGTCGATTGATTTCCTCTCCTTACCTAGCACTTGACCCAGACCTAACCTCAGTATTCATCACCCTGTTATACCACTTCACATGGGAGATAGAACGCAGGCACCCATGATCAAAGACAGCTAGTCTTTTCATGTCTTCCACTCTCAATGGCCAGGTCTCACAGACATAAAGGAGGATGGAGAGGGCTGCTGAGCAGTACAGTGGACGACCTGAAGGGCGATGTCATTCAATGGTCTCCTCGCCTATTTTACTAGTTCGCCACTGGTTTACTAGCCGGTCCTCAGAAAGAGAAAAATGTTTGGAAGTAAGGCTAACAACCGTACCCCCAGAAAATCAATCCAATCGTTACATAAACCTTAAGAGAATAAAAATCAGCTGTCTTAAACCTACCGGTTTCATAATCCACCTAGGTCGTGTATTTAGTGTTGATAATCCATCTATGTTCGATGCTGTTGAATTCGGTGTTTCATAACGTGACCAAAATTCTTTTAATAATTTTAAATCTGTTGGTAGACAAAATGTTCTTGGCACAAAATCAATTGACTTCTTGCCAAAATATGATCTCATCTGATTTAAATTCATCCATAGTTTATCTTTACGGCCTAATTGAAATGAACCCGGGAAATGATTGACTTTTTGATATTCACGTATAGGACGAAAACCAAATGGTTTCAAGTGATTACCATAATACCCGATCCATTCAGATGATTCTAAAAGGGTTAAAATTAATAAGAATAACAGTTAAAAGAGCATAATCTTATCTTGAGATATTGACTTGCACAGTGAAGATGAGTATGGCTAATTACAGCAATTCCACATTAAATTTGTCTATTAGAAAATTCGCACAATGAAACAGTATTATCGTTTACTGGATGACAAGGTTTCGAACACAATTTATTGTTCATAATCATATCAGTTATAATCATACGACTTCGAAACCTCTGTTCTATAGTTTCCTTCATTCTTTCCTATTCATCATCGAAGGGGTAGTAGAATTTCCCATATGTCCAACTGGGCAGGTGTTGAATCATTCCTATTACACGTATCTGCTGTTGATTCGACAAATAAAACTTCCATTATCAGTCTCTCCTTCCACCCTGTTACATTAGATTTTAAAACTGCCATGTTATCCCATCCTCCTATTGTATGGTGGTGCGTAATCACATGTAGTGCTATGGCTGAACTATTAACCAGATTTCTTATCTTATCAGGGTCAGCTAATCTAGACAGCAGCCTGACTAAATTACTGAGCTGTTCGATTTTCCACAAAGCAAAATGAGTCAAATTTACTCAATTATACTACCTTTTAACTGTCTTTTTATGTCCTTGGTAAAGAGTTTATATTCACGAGCATTTCCGAATGGCTTTCAGCATATGGTTCGGTCTATTTTCAAGTAACAAGTGTGTCAGGCGTTGGAGCGCTTTGCAGACCAGACTAAATTTCATTGATATAAGAATAAAAATTGGGCACTGTGGTAGAGTGTAATTCCTTTATGGGTAAATTTTATATTATTATATATCATTATATTATATTTATGGATAGCTGGGCTCTTAATACGTTTGATCCTACTCCAAAAATATGGTGGAGATATGTGGATGACACTTTCACAGTGTTAAAAACAGAACATATCTCTAGCTTCTTGACACACATAAACTCACTAGTGGAGGGAATAAAATTCACATTTGAAGCCGAAAATGAGCAAGGAGAATTAGCTGCGATTTTAGATTGTAAAATAAAACGGATAGAAGAAGGTTAACTGCACACTAGTGTTTATGGAAAACCAACGCATTCTAATAGATATTTAGACTTTAATTCATCTCATCCTTTAACTGTTAAGGCAGGCTTAGTTAAGTGTTTAACAAACCGAGCAATGGCACTAAGTAGCACAAAAAAAGACATAAATGATGAAATAAAACAGATAGAAGAGGCGTTGGTGTTAAATAACTATCCTTTAAAATTCATTAGGAAGATTGGAAAAGACCAAAAGAAAAAGAAAAATAATTGTGAAACTAGTAATGATAACATAAATAAGAGAGAATATAAGTCATCTACAGTTATACCATATAAAGAGGGGACATCTGAGACCCTACGTAGAATTCTAAATGAAGCAGGAATTAGGGTGGCATTCAAACCTACACACTCACTCAGGGACAAGCTCTGTAGGTTAAAGGACCCAGTGGACCCAATTAGACAAAACAACATAATTTACAAAATACCCTGCAATGACTGTGAGGTCAACTACATAGGTCAAACTAGTAGGTCAGGGGTAGTCAGATTGTCAGAACATAAGAATTTAGCTAAGGTAAGAATGGTTGACCCAGAGAAGATAAGTAATTTAGAAAAAAGCTCAGCAATTGCAATGCATGCATTAGCACACAACCACACAATAGGGTGGGAGAGGGTTAAAATTCTAAAAAGTAATCAAGGTAGATGGAGAGAGAGATTGATTACTGAATCTTTGTTCATTGACTCTACATCCAACACATGCAATAGAAATGATTCATCACTCATACCCGAAATATGGAAAATATTACTATCAATCAAATCAAGTGAAAAACAATGGGACTATATAAATGAACTTAGGAAGTCGTGTGATTACCTTGATATGATTATGAGCAATAAATTGTGCTCGAAACGTCATCAGTAAATATTGCTGTATAACACTGTGAGACTTTATCGAAATAAAATTTACCCATAACAGACTAAATTTCATCTAATGATTTACCGTAGATTACTGTTTTGCCTGAAGATTCTTTGTGAGAAGTAGATGAATACACGCTCAACTTACGTACTCTATATGAATATGTTGTTCAGAATAAAGCTATTCTCATTACTATCATTAATTTATCAGTCACCGTCTCATGTGTGCAATATTTTGTTGATAAGAAGAGTTAATCGTACTATAGGTTTGCGGATATGAGGAATTAAAAATAATTTATGCGAAGATATTATAAGTTCCTGTCTATTACGTGGAAGATGAATACTTCATCTTACAAATGACTTTCTTCGACTAGACATTAGGTGGTAACTAATGTCATGGGTCTGGTCCTTTGTTTGGCGCAGACTGAATTCTATTATTCAGTTTCTCAATTTGGCTACCGTGCTAGATGGCTTACCATCACGGTGTACTCTGAATTTCTGTTAGATATTTGGAGGCCATAGGCAGATTTTTTGGCTGTTAGTACCCATCAGCAGGGCGTGTCTGCAATCTTGAAGGAACTCGTTTCCCTTCTGAGATTCAACTTCACTCTGCACCAAACGAAAGACTGGACGCATGACATTAGTTACTTCCCAATGTCCAGTTAAAGTCTCCATTACAGTCCCAAAGATGGTTGATCACGAGCTCAAATAGTTCAGTGGTAACTTCTGTGACCGAAGCACTGGATGACATGAGTTCGAATCTCAGAAGAGGTATGCGTTCCTTCGAAACTGCATGTGAGTTTTGCTGATGAGTTGCAACAAGCAAGAAATCTAGGTCCAAGGATTCCTTCCAGCTGCCTCTAACCATCAACAACAAACGATATTCAGTAGACTGAGATGAGAAATCTCTGGTTACTACATAAATTAAACCTATAATATTAAACTAGCAGTACATTTTAAAAATGCTAACTAGACTACGTAACCCACCCATATCCAACATATGCATGAAATTTATAAATCTAATTTCCACAGGTTATCACCTAAAAGACCTAATGTACCGTTAGTTTCGAAGTTCAACAAGTATATGCAGTAGTTCTATATTAAATTCCTGATAAGTTAAACCATCTATGGTCTATCAAATTTACAATACATTTGAACAAACTCATTTTCACTTTAGCCAACAATTCCCAGTTCAGATACTCTCTAAAAATGTAATTGAGCCTTGAAGTCCTTTTAAAAACTGTTACATACACGGTGTCATTAATTCTGATAGATAGTATGTCACAAACGCTGCTAATGACTGGTGCTTAAAATGTTATTAAACAAAGTACATTGTACCGTTAATATATTTAGCATAAGGCTTATATTTCATATTTAAACAGCAAGTTTTATGGATATTTATCAATAAATAGTTGTAGTGATCATTAAGTAGTGATCCGTTTAAGAAAACTAACTAATCTCATGAAGAGCTACAGGTTACGGGGAAAACTCAGAAATAAGGCAGTCAAATCCGTTTGTTTTGAGTCTCAGGTAGGATATGAATCTTACGAGAGTACTCTGCTTCCTTTAATAATGAGACTTTGCATCAGGCTGTTTGAGTAATGGCAAGTATATTATTATTATTGTTTCCTTTAATTCCTAGAGGAACACAGGACTTCCGCCGAATGTCTCCATTGCGTTCGGTTCTCTCCCAACGTCTTCACCTGGCTCCATGTCTGCCCACACGTTTTCATCTCCTCTTCACATGACCTCCTCCAAGTCACCCTTGCACTGACGACCAACTCGCCGCTTCCCTTTCGGGTTCCACTCGAGCAATGGCTTGTCTAGTGATGTCACTTGATGGCTTCCTCAGAGTATGGCCAATCCATCTCCATTTCCTTCTGCATATTTGTTTCACAATCGGTTCCTGGTTGGTTCGCTCCCAGAGATCTCTGTTGCTGATCTTTTCTGGCCGGCCATCGGATCTTGACTGGTATTGAGTGAAGACAACTGTTAATGAAGGTCTGTAGTTTGTTTGATGTGCTCTTTATGACGCACCAAGTCTCTGATCCGCATGGTAGCACTGACTTCACATTGGAGTTGAAAATCCGGATCTTATTTTTGATACTGAGTGCTGTTGATCTCCACACAGACCTGGGAGTAATGAGAGCTTGCCTTGCTTTCCCTATCCTCGCTTTGATATCCTCACCAGTTCCGTCCACCTGTAGTTGAAACGATGCTTCCGAGGTAGGTAAAAGAGGTTGTTTCTTTCAGGTCCCTTCCATTTATGCTGATTGTTGTCAGCTGTTGTTGTTGCTATTGGTGGTGTTGCCCAGGAAATAACAATGAAGATCACTAAACCAAATAATTGAGGTAACAATACATTTATCCTGGCTGGTATCAAAACAAATTTTACCAATGAAGTTAGTTTAGTGTGATGAAGAATTGTTGCTTTGAACACACAGAGGTGGTTCAAACTTTATAATTGACAGCTAGGGCTTCCACAATCTATAGGATACACCCTCCCCCGAACGCGTTTTATAGAGATGTTTAAAAGATGTGTAAACGTGAATTTTATGTCTTGCCTCTATAATGTGTTTCGCAATAGAGGAGCCAGGTTTCCTGTTCTCAGTTTTAATGGGTTCTGGGAATTGTGAAATAATAGAGAAGATTTGTAACTCAGGTGGATGATTTACAATTAAAAGCGTTCTCTGAGCTGGTTGGTTTAATCGCGAAGCTTTCGTCGTCCTTCCGGACAACATCTTCAGCGCCATATTTATCACGAAGTGAAGTGATTTAAATTTTCTCATGCATGATGTAATTGCGTCTCCTGGTTACTATCTTCACATATGTATTCATATACATATGTGAAGATAGTAACCAGGAGACGCAATTACATCATGCATGAGAAAATTTAAATCACTTCACTTCGTGATAAATATGGCGCTGAAGATGTTGTCCGGAAGGACGACGAAAGCTTCGCGATTAAACCAACCAGCTCAGAGAACGCTTTTAATTCTGGGAATTGTATTTGCTTCTTGAGCCAATTCGGAATATGCTGTGAAGCCAACCCTTACTTGTGGAGATGGATGAGTCCTCTCTATGTATGTGTGTCCACATGTACATTCAAATTGGTAAATACAGTGGGATGTGACATCATTTTTCTCATTTTCAAAGGGTTTAGGTGGATATATTTGGCTCCACATTCCCATTTATGATGACACTAGCTGCATAAAAAGTTCAGTCTTCATCTAGTTGTCAAGCTTCTATAATCCCCCATACAGGGTAGCTTGATATACACGTCTTTCTTAGGGGCGAGTTGGAGAGTGGGTCTTGGTATTTTGACTGCTTTATATCTCCTGATGAACTTGTCTGGATAACTGTTATCAACCGGTGTTTGTGTCAACTTTCTTTCTTCTTTCACTGAATATTCAAAAGTTTTAAGGTAAACTGTGCTGTATGCTTGTTTTGTATTTGTTTAGGTAAACTAAACGGTGGAGTACTTTTCAGTGACAAACAAAAGCTGTATTGTATATCTTATCTGTCTTTAGATAGACTTAGCCCCCCAAAACACCATAACATACTATCAATATGTTGCCCTGTTCTTTGATTATTTACCATTTGTAAAACAGTGAGTCTCTCCTACTTCACTAATTAAAGATATTTAGAAGGAGGAGAAGGAAATGATAATATTTGTTTTTCTCTGATGAAAATATTGCAATTACTATTTTTAAAGTACAATATAATAGAATCATCTTACTTAACGTCATCCGAAAATTTGATCTTTTTAAGACACGTTTTACCACATTCGGTGTAATAGCACTTGGACGCCAAAGAAGACGAGATCTGTATTGTTTTGGTAATTTCTGTACTGAAATTAAAGAAACAAAAAAAAGATTATTTAGTATAGATAAGGTGAGTAGATTAGAAACATTTTTAACTACTATGTATATTATGTTGATCAGCATTGCATTGACTAGTAGGATGGTCTAATAGGTAATGTAACCATGTACCTTTCTCTCTCTTATGCAACATGGCTTTAAAGGGAAAAGAAGATGGGTATGTCAAGCTCTATTCCAAAACAACTGACAGACTTCTGACACTTAGCCAACGCTGACTACGATTTTAAAATCATCTATCAAAATCATGTCAACCTGCCGCATCTTCATCGTTTCAAACTTCTTAAGACAGCTGATACCAAGTCTTTGTGTAGAAAAAAAGAAGTATTTAAAATCCCTATTTCTACCATGATTGTGGAACAGAAAAGAGAAATAAAACATTTATTCCTTTTTACTTTTTATTTTTTACGAGTTGATCACGGATTGATATCAGTTAGAGAACCATTGAAAGCCAGCACTGGAGTACTCGACAGCTGCTGTTTCATCCTAGTTTGGGAATCATAGGCAGTACGCACCCACTGGGATTCGAACCCTGGACCTACCGGTTACAAGGCAAGCTAGCTCGTATACAATTCAGCCACTGGGACCCGATTCAATGACCTGCCGATGAATTCTAACTTCTACCAATTCGTGATTTAGCGCGACCCCAAACATTGTCGTCGGTGGGACATCCATCCTCACACATGACATCTGGATGGACCTCACTGGTCACGACTTCTCACTAGAACTCCAGGAAACTCTATCCTGTAGCAAGTCACTAGCGAGTATCAGATTAATTTTCTATGGTTTGGTTTGTTTATTTAATGTATGTACTTTTACCATATTATTACGATTGCTACTGTTGTTATTAGAACAAAACATATATGCGAACAATATTGTTTTCAATTAGATCTTCTTCAGGCTTTACTCTAATTTACATAGATTTATATATAAAAACTTTTTTAACCAATGACGGTGAGTTTGTGGATCAAATAATAATAATGATAGTACTAAGGTGGTAAATGTTTTGAAAGTCATTGATAACGATGATTATAATGATAACAAAATAATGATAATTAGGTTTACGCAGGTGGCGATAAGAATAACGAAGGTAGTAATATGTGTATAGGTAGACAATTCAACAAATAAATTAGGTCAAATCTAAAAAGTTACGCAATACTAAGGGTTAAGTGGACAGATAATCAGAGTTTAAATAAATACCATAAGAGTACGAAGGAAATGGAAGATAAAAAAGGGTGGGAGGATTTCAATTAGAATTTACCTAGGCCAAGGGAGAGACAAAGGTAGAACAAACTTCTTTTGTATGCAAAGACTAGGATTGTTCTCTCGAATTCCCATAGCTTTGGCTTTGTGTAAAAGGCGGGTTCGAATTCCGTTCAAAAGGCTCGATGGAATACGATAGATAACTTTGAAGGCACTACTTCTGTCCACTTGGTGACCGCTATCAATCAAATGATTCAAAATAGAACTGGGTTCGAGCCTCGGTGGGAACATCATCACTCACTGCGGAGTGCAGGTGCATCCGGGTGATGAGCCCCAAATATAACGAAATGCGCATCCTGGATTCCACTGCTAGTCACCATCCACCAATTAAATTCTAACTGCATGCCCAGACATCATCGAAGCATCTGCACAAGAAGCCGACATGTCAACCCGAGACCGAGCACTTCGGTCCAACCAATTGACGGGAAAATCTAAAATTCAATTAAATCTTATGAATTTTATTTGACCTTTTCCTAACAATATCCAAACCCGAGTTCACTTTTAACATTTTGAAAGGTGCTCATTAATACGTTTGTTAAGCTGTCTAGTCGTTCACCCTATGTTATTTTTGTTGTTATTACTGTTCATAGTTTCACTTTGAACAGTTTCTAGAATTATTACACTTCTCCCATTTAATATTATAACTCAGTATGTTTTGAAATGTTTAAGTCTATCTTATTAAACTTCTCATCATGTTACGTCATATTTTTATTTGTCGACTAAGATTGTTATCGGTACTCTTTTCCAATATGTAAACATGCTATGAACTATTTCATACATGATATTATTTGCTTTGTCGTTTGATACCGAGGTATGATTGTAATCATAAACATTTTATCGTGTTTCATATTACTATTATCAGTATCCAAATTTTTTTCAAGTATTCGTTTGTAGGGATTTGGTTAATTGGTTACAGGATTTCATCATGAGTTGACGTTAGTTAGAGAACCATTGGAAAACCTGGGAGTACTGGAAAGCTGTTTCGTCCTAGTTTGAGACTCTTCATCAGTACGCACACAACTCGCCTTGTACCCAGTAGGTCCTGGGTTTGAACGCCGGTGACTGCGTACTGCTGTAGAGTCCCGAACTAGGACGAAATGGTTGTCCAGTACTCCTAGGTTTTCCAATGGTTCTCTAACCAATGTCAGCTCATGATGAAATCTTGTAACCAAATTTTTTTGTTTGAATTTTCATATGCAGTAAATTTGCTTAAAATTCATAGACTACGACTTTACAGCTTGATAATGGACTTGGTGAAAAGAGTCTTTTCAGTCTTTTCTGTAGCCGACCAAATCCCTGCAACCTATACTTGAAAATTCCCTTTTTCAGTTTAATCAAACTGATATATCTGGACTATTTATTTTTGAAATTAAAAACAAATTAGCAGCAGAATATTTGTTCCAGGTTAGACCACGGATTGCTATCAGTTAGAGAACCATTGGAAACATGAAGGGAGTACTGGACAGCTGTTTCATCTTAGTTTTGGACTCTTCATCAGTACGCATCCACACTGCGGCGTTCGAACGCAGGACATTCTGGTTACAAGCCTAGCTAACTAGTAGACCGTTAAGCCACTGGGACCCGATCAAGTGACCAACCCATGAATTCTAACTTCTGCTAATTCACGACATAGCGCGACCACTTCGCAATGTCTTCTTCGATGAGTAACTGTCCTCACCTTCGAGTTGCTGCACCCTACTGGTCACGGCTTCTCACTAGAACCCGAGGTAACCTCAGGCCTGAATAGAGCCAGTTGTTAGTGAGCATCAGATCAATTTCCAAGTATTGGTATTTCGTAGGGATTTTGTTTGATTGGCTCGAGGATTTCATCATGAGCTGAAATCAGTCAGAAAACCATTGAAAACCAGGGGGTACTGGACAGGTGTTTTATCCTAGTTTGGTAATCATAGGCAGTAGTCACCCACTGAGGTTCGAACCCGGGACCTTCCGGTTACAAGGCAAGCTTGTAGACCATTAAGCCCCTAGGACTCGATTCAATGGCCAGCCCATGAATTCTAACTTCTACCAATTCGTGATTTTTAGCACGACTATCAACCAATGTTATTTCGCTTGAGTTTTATTTCATATCGGTTGACTCTTGATCTTTCTCACTTTCGCATTGATTTGAAACAAAAACAACATCACTTTCATACTTTATTCAAAAGTTATAATGAAATATCTAAGTGGCTAGTAGCTTTGAACTTAACTCACAGCAGTATATCAGAAAAAATATATATAACCTTACTGATAATTGATTTCCATATTTTTCAAACGAAAAAAATACCATAGGTTAAAATGTCCTTAAATACTTTTGATTTTTTTAGTGAAAATTTATTTGGAGAGTTTCTTTACTATACTGAATTTATCAATTTACTATCGGTTACTAAAGTAACTTTTTAAGAACCTTTCATACTGTTTAGTTTCGTTAGACAAAAGTAAAGTAAAAAAATAAATAAATATGTACTTTAACGAAGTATACATTGAGAGGCATTTTCATCAAATGAAATTTCTAAATTATTAGTTTCTTTTTTATTCAAGTGTTGGTTTGTAGGGATTTGATTGGTTACAGGATTTTCATCATGAGCTGACATTAGTTACAGAACCATTGGGGTCCCAGTGGCTTAATGGTATACGAGCTCGCCTTGTAACCAGAAGGCCTTGGGTTCGAATCCCGGTGGGTGCGCAGAGTCCCAAACTAGGACGAAACAGCTGTCCAATACTCCCAAGTTTCTTTTATTCAGGTTAAGAGACTTGGGGGAATAAAATAAGCGACTTTTATTAAGAGGAAGTCGCAATTCGTAAATTCAACCGTCTAAGGTGAAATATGTGATGTGCTTGATACTTTAAATGATAATCAAGAAAGCAAACATAATTGCAGTATGCTACATACTACTTGTTGGTTTATATGAGTAGTCGAATACCACGTGCATTGATTAACAGCGCTTTCTTAGCTGGGTTCAAATTTCCACAAGCAACTTAGGCTTGCTTTCTTGATTACCACTTATGGTATCAATCAGATCACATATTGTGATCTCAGTAAACTGGTCTCCAAGGGGAACTTCGGTCAAATTTCACCATTTGCAATGTGTAGATCGCAAATTGTTAGTTTGATTTATAGTTTGACTAGTTCGTCCAACTGGCTAGCCGGAAATTGGGTGCTTTGAACTGATTCAACTCTCTGATCTGAGTTGAACCGCGTTCAACTCTGATGAGCTCGGCTCCAAGAGAGCGAAACGGCAATTTGCTGCTTAGATCACTTGAATCTTCCTAGCAATCAATACTGGTTGATGTCAGTGGTTAGAAAGTACTCATCGCAGTCAGTCAGGAGTACCCAGTGCCATGGAATTTGAGAAAACTTTTTCTCCTTTCTATAGAATGTATCTTAATTACTGTAGTGAAGGTTCAACAAAACACGAGGACCTCACATTTTTTTAGATAATCGTACAGTCTTTTGCATTACGAAACGTGGTACGAGAGAAAATCTGAGGAGAGATAAAAGTGAATATCAGAATTCAGCTACCTGCAGCAAGTTGTCCATACATAGGGCCATGAACCACATTAAGGCTAGTGAACCCCAGGGATAATTGACTGAAAGTCGAGTCTTTAAACCATTGTACTATATTTCCACGAAGATGAAAGAAGCAGCAATAGTAGTATTCGAAATAGCGATAAAGATATTTGGTGCCTAAGTGAAAATTTGATCTTCACG